TCACGTCAGCCTCTGATTTTACAAGCCGCCTCCCACAGTTCTGCTTGTTGACTTGTTCCCAAATGCTATCCTCTGTGGCCCTGCAGGACACTGTGTATCCCCTCCCTCCAGACTACTAGTCCATGGAATTAACAAACACTTCATTTGTCAATCTCATTTGTCTAGTGGCACAGGGTGTCCAATGGCCCCTAGGGTAAAAATCTGTTCCTCACTAATGGGGTGAACAGAAGATGATTACATCTCTAGGACCTCATATTGCCGACACTGCGGCACTTTCACCTCTGCCTGGCAGATGGGGAAATGACATTGCCATAACAAAATTACCAAGTTCATTTGTTTTCAATCAATTCAGTCAGTCCTTCATTCAGCTTGTTGGTGCTAGGGAGAAGAGTTGATGTCCATAATTTGCAACATACCTAATCATCATGTAAGCCTCAAAGATTGATGACTACAGTTTATTAATCTTTTTCATTTCTCATTTTGCACTTACACCTTAAAATAACAATGTATAGAGTGAAAAAAAAAACTCACCCCTCAATTGGTTTTAGAATAATGTGTGTATTATAAACATAGCAGTGGCAACGACTCATTGCTGTGGAGTCAGAACTGACTCATAGTTGACCCTCTAGCTCATTTTCTATACACATTATTGATATAAACATAATTCCTTCTAGATTTCTCTTGGGGCAAGAATATGTAACAAACTATGCATATTGCATGTATTAGAAGGTTGTGAGTGTGTTGTGGGAAGGTAAGAATATTGCCTTTATCTTTATATAACTATATGGAGCTTATTAGAATAGTCTGCAGTGAGCAGTGTTTCTGATCCAAAGGGCACATGTCTCCTGAGGTTTGAATCTACCAGAAGCTCCTTAGGAGGAAGATGAACAGTTTTCTCCCGTTACAATTTATGGCCTTAAAAACTGTGCGGAGGTCCACCATGAGCTGGAACTGGCTCAGTAGCAGAGAGTTAGAGTTTTTGAGGTGTACTCAGATGACATTTTTTGCTCACACCTATTTCCTTATATGTATTGGGGAAAATTTTTGACAATGAAACTTCAAACAAGGAATCCATAACTAAAATTCACAGACTATAACAGGATCTCCACAAGAAAAACACTTGATAACCAATTGCAAAATGGGCAAAGCTGTGAAAAGACTCTTCACTAAGAAGGATATCTAGAATAGCCAATAAACACAAGAAGAAAGATTAAAAATCACTAGCAATCAGAGAGATTCAAATTAAAGCAACAATGAAGTACCATCTCATCCCAGCAGAAGTAGTAAAGTTTAGCAGGAGAACAGAAAATAAATGTACGGATGTGGAGAGATTGAAACCCTAATGTACATTGGTGGGATTGCAAAATGGTACAAACACTCTGGAAGGCAGTCTGGCATATTCTCAAAAAGATGAATATAGAAATTCCATGTGACACTGCTATTCCTCAACTAGGAATATACCACAAAGAAATAAAAGCTGAAACACTAAAGGAGATATGTACACCTATGTTCATTGCAACATTATTAACAATAGCAAACAAAAAAATGAAAATAACCCAAATGTCCATCAACAAATGAATGGATAGAGAAACTGTCTTACATTCACATAATGCAATACTACGTGGGACTAAAGAACTATTAAGCACTCATAAAATACTGTACAATATGTGAAAGTCTAGAAGGCATTATGTTGAGTGAAATAATTCAACCACAAAAGGATAGATTACTGCATTAAGATTGCAATTATAAAATAGGATAGCCGAGTGAGATAAATGTTAAAAAGAGGAAGGAGAAAGAGAAAAAAGGGGTGGAAGAAGGAGGGAGGGGAATCACTGGGACAGCAGAAGTTAGTGTGCAGATGAGAGGGTGTAAAGGGATAGGAAAGAGGTAATGGACATTGGAAGGGGCAGGGTGATAAAAGGCATGGATCAATATTAATTATGTGAAACAATGCTTATGAACGAGACACAATGTACATGAATAAAAAAGCATGTACTACTTCTTCTGTTGAAAAAATTGAAACAATATGTTTCCGTAAATTTTTTTTGTTTGTTTTCACAGAATAGCTATGGGTAGTCTTTACTCAGTCGCATCTAACAAGAATAATATATATGGATATACACACGCATATACAACCACAATATAATTCTATATTTTAAGAATGTTTATGCCATAAATTTTAATATTTTTT